TGACCCAGGGGAACGTGCCCCTGCTGCGCGTCACCGCCGGCACCATGATCCTCTTCATGGTGGATCGGGGCCTCTACCCACACGACAAGGTGCTGGAGTCCCAGCTCTGGAAGAAAGTGGTTTATGCTGGAGGTAAGGATGGGGAGAAAAATTAATGGAGGGGGCAATGAAGCTGCTGGAGGTGGAGGTGGAAGAGGAAGGAGGAGATCCCAAAGGCTTTTCCCACCCACAGGGGTGGTGGCCGTCCTCTTCCTGCCGGCGCTGGTGGCTCCCGTCTACTGCCTCGTCTGGTCCATGTCCTACATCTGCTGCCCCTTCGCCCTCTGGAGCTGCAAAGCCTAAACCTGCCTTGGTGCAATGCCTAGTGAAGCCTTCCTCCTCCTCCTCCTCAGGCATCTCCTTTGGTTCTCCTTGCCAAACCCCAGCCTGTTTAGAAAAGGGAAATAAATGAGTGGTAGGAAAACTCTGCCTGGGGAGGCCTTCCAGTGCCTGCAGGGAAGCTGGGGAGGGACTTTGGGAAGGGCTTGTAGCAAGAGGACAAGGGGTGATGGATTAAAACTGGAAGAGGGAAGATTGAGGTTGCACATGAAGAGGAAATTCTTCAGTGTGAAGGCGGTGAGACATGGGAACAGGTTGCCCAGAGAAGCTGTGGCTGCCCCATCCCTGGCAGTGTTGAAGGGCAGGTTGGATGGGGCTTGGAGCAACCTGGGCTGGTGGGAGGTGTCCCTGCCCATGCAGGGGGTTGGATCTAGATGATCTTTAAGGTCCCTTCCAACCCAAACCATTCCATGATTCTATGATATGATGAAAATACCCTCCCTGTGCCATCCCTTCTGGGGGAAGGGGTGAGCAAACCCCCGTTACAACAGAGACCCCAAACCCTTCCCAACAAGGGGGAATAGGAAATTTAGAGACAGCTCCCACTCTACATCATTAATTTATCACAAGGGGGAGGTTGACACCCCACAAAAACCCAGCCAGCCCCTCCCCGGGGGATGGAAACCACCGAGCAAACCTTCAGAGCTCCTAAAACCCGGCTCAGCCTCAGCACGTTGGTGCTTATTTTAATTTCCCCTGTTGCTGCAGGGAAAATTCCCTCTGAAATTCTATTCCCCCTCCCTACTGGGTGTTTGCTCGCTGGGGCTGCGGGAGGGAAGGTGGAAGGGGAAAAGCAGGATTGGATCCCAAGTCTCTGGAAGCCGGAGGGCGCCGGCTCGGCAGGCGAAGGGCGTGTGGGTGGAGGAAGGAAGCGAAGGTCAAACCTTGCGGAGAGAAACACTCGGGGGTCCCCCTGGGGAGGCTCTGGTGGCTCCAGCAGCTGTGAGAGAGCTGGATGTGGCTGAATCCAGGCAATGGGAGGGCAGGACCCTTCCGGACCCTTGGCAAGTTCAAGGTCCTGCTGGGTGCGAGGAGGCCGGAGCTGGCGACCAGGGAACTGCAGCTGCTCTGGCTCCTGGCCCTGCTCCTGCCTCTCCCACACCATTCCCACCCGGCACCCGGGGCTGCACCCACTGAGGGACCAGGAGCCAGAGAAATGTGGAACCAGCACAGGTTTCTTTATTTATATTTAAAAAAAGAAAAAGAAAGAAAAAAAAACCCACCCCAACAGAGCAGTTATTCGGTAATAAATAACAAAGGGGTTAGAAAAGGGGGCGGGGTCCCTCACTCTCCCGAGCCCTGCATCTGCTTGCAGAAGGAGTCAAACTGCTGCTGCTCCAGCTCTGTCATCACCCGGTTGAGGGCGTAAATCTGGGGAGGGAGGGGCTAATACAGCTGGTGTAATACAAGCTTGGATTAAAAGGTGTTTGAAAACCTAGAGCCAGATGGCTCCCAAATGCTTTGCCGATACAGTGTTGTAGTGTTGACTTAGCATAAAAGTGCTCATACATATTTTGGTACAGGCATAAGCTTTTGCAGTATGTGAGGTCTAACTGGAAACCATTGTCATTGCAGGAGAGAATTATTTAGATTATGTATTACTTTACATGTAGATTAATATTTTGCAACACTTTTCACTGCAATGGTATTAATTATAGGTCAACTGTGCCTGTCTGATCTTACAACCTGACACTATTCTCAAGTGGAACACTTGATCTATTCTGAAGCTGTGAATTTCAGCAATAATGTCTGCATTTCTTTCGATAATGCCTCTGCAGAGCTCTGTAAAGGAAGTCTATAGATACTGAACTGGTGGCAGCCTACTGCATAAGCTCACAATTAATTTTTAGGGAATAATTGAAATAATTTTTACAAAGATCTAGATGTACCTATGCCCCAATGTGACCCCATTGTGACCCCAGTGCGACCCCAGTGTGACCTCATTGTGACCCCAGTGACATCCCAGTGCAACCCCAGTGTGACCCCATTGTGACCCCAGTGAACCCAGTGCGACCCCATTGTGACTTCAGTGACATCCCAGTGCAACCCCAGTGCGACCCCAGTGACCCCAGTGCGACCCTAGTGTGACCTCGTGACCCCAGTGACATGCCAGTGCAACCCCAGTGACCCCGGTGTGACCCCAGTGCGACCCCAGTGTCACCCCAGTGTGATCCCAGTGACCCCAGAGCTACCCTAGTGACTCCAGTGTAACCTCAGTGCAACCCCAGTGTGATTCCGGTGTAATCCCAGTGCAACCCCAGTGTGACCCCAGTGCAACCCCAGTGTGACCCCACTGACCCCAGTGCGACCCCAGTGTGACCCCAGTGACCCCAGTGTGACCCCAGTGCGACCCCATTGTGACCTCAGTGTGACCCCAGTGCGACCCCACTGCGACCCCAGTGACCCCAGTGAACCCATTGTGACCCCAGTGTGACTCCAGTGACCCCAATGCGACCCCAGTGTGACCCCAGTGAACCCATTGTGACCCCAGTGTGACTCCAGTGACCCCAGTGTGACCCCAGTGTGACCCCAGTGACCCCAGTGCAACCCCAGTGTGACTCCACTGACCCCAGTGTGACCCCACTGCGACCCCAGTGTGACCCCAGTGCGACCCCATTGTGACCTCAGTGTGACCCCAGTGTGACTCCAGTGACATCCCAGTGCAACCCCAGTGCGACCCCAGTGCGACCCCAGTGACCTCAGTGTGACCCCAATGTGACCCCATTGTGACCCCAGTGCGACCCCAGTGTGACCTCATTGTGACCCCAGTGACATCCCAGTGCAACCCCAGTGTGACCCCATTGTGACCCTAGTGAACCCAGTGCGACCCCATTGTGACTTCAGTGTGACTCCAGTGACATCCCAGTGCGACCCCAGTGCGACCCCAGTGTGACCTCGTGACCCCGGTGACATCCCAGTGCAACCCCAGTGCGACCCCAGTGACCCCAGTGCGACCCTAGTGTGACCTCGTGACCCCAGTGACATGCCAGTGCAACCCCAGTGACCCCGGTGTGACCCCAGTGCGACCCCAGTGTCACCCCAGTGTGATCCCAGTGACCCCAGAGCTACCCTAGTGACTCCAGTGTAACCTCAGTGCAACCCCAGTGTGATTCCGGTGTAACCTCAGTGCAACCCCAGTGTGATTCCGGTGTAATCCCAGTGCAACCCCAGTGTGACCCCAGTG